AGTTCTGTTAAAAGTCTTAAATTTAAAGTGTTCCAATGGGGTGCTGGGGTGGCTCAGTCATTGTGTCTGCCTTCAGCTCAGGTCATGATCCCAGGGTCCTGGGATTGAGCCCCGCATCGGGCTTCCTGCTCTGTGGGAAGCCTGTTTCTCCCTCTCCCACTCCCCCTGCTTGTGTTCCCTCTCTTTCGTCTCTCTCTCTGTCAAATAAATAAATAAAATCTTTAAAAAAAAATAAAGTGTTACAAGCCATAGTACATAGAATTTGAAAATGACATATACAAATGGTAATTTTCTTATCATTTCCCCTTTCTGTATGGTTCTTGCCCATTGTTCTGAGAAGGAATTTTAATTTTTGTTTTTAATGCCCAATTTTACCTTGAACTGTTTATTTGTTTGGTTAGACCATGGAATAATTTGACTACTCAGTGAACACTTTGGAAAGTGAAAGTTTTATTTATTGAAAGGGAAGGAATTTCACCAGAATATTCAGGTCTAAAATTCTAAGAGTTATAATCTTGGACTTTCTCCAAACTTACTCTCCTTTCAGCATCAGAAGGAACCTTCCACTTGAATAATTTACCATCTATGCTCCCAAGTGGGTGTTTAAAAATCCTCTTTATTTTCTTTAACTTTTCATTATGGGAATTTTCAAACATGAACAACAATAGAGAGAAGAGCATAACAAAGTCCCCAATATCCATAACCCAGCTTCAACAATTATCAACATTTTTTTCCATTGCTTTTAAATTGTTCACTACTCTCAATTTTTTCCCCCAGCATGTTTCAAAGTAAATCCCAGACATCATGTGGTTTCACCTGTCAATAATTTCATCTGCATAGAGCTCTTGTTAAAGGGTAAGAATGATGCAAGAAAATATTCAAATGAATATGACAATCACAGTTATTCCTCTAAATATGCTCACGTTGTAGAGAGTGGAATGGAGACTTTCCAAGCTTTTGGTTCCCTTGAGTTACCAGTCCTAATTCAGGCACATATTAACAATGGGATTTCTGTCATGCACCTTAACTTCTGTGTCCTCAGTTCTTATTTCTTTTTTTTTTTAAAGATTTTATTTATTTATTTGAGACAGAGAGCATGAGAGAGAGAGAGAGAGCACATGAGAGGGGGGAGGGTCAGAGGGAGAAGCAGGCTCCCTGCCGAGCAGAGAGCCCAATGCGGGACTCGATCAAGGGACTCCAGGATCATGACCTGAGCCGAAGGCAGTCGCTTAACCAACTGAGCCACCCAGGCGCCCTCAGTTCTTATTTCTAAGGTGAGAATTTAAAAATGTCCTTTACCTCAGAGACAAATACTGGGTTGTTACAAGGATGCAACAGGTAAAGAATGCAAATTGGCTTTGTAAACCTCAAATACAAAGACACGTTTTATCAAGGCTTCTTAAGCATGTAAGCACCAAATAAATATGTGTTAAATGGAAGAACAAGCATGTAAAAAGTGAATTAAAGTCATAATCTGTACAAGGCTGTACAAAAAGTATAAAGTGAGTCACTTCAAATGACGTCAAGCAGGTAGCTATTTAGAAACAGCAACTGAATATATGGTATATATAAAATATACCTTTAGACCATTTGACATTTCAGTCTTTTGTCAATAAAACACCATATAATTGACAAACATTTTCATTTTTCATTTAGATGCTTATTATTAAGTAGTAATAGCAAGAAAAAAAATGCTATGTTTTTGCATTGCTGCTTACATTAAAACATCAGATCTTTGCATTGAGGTTGTAAACTGTTTTTGGTGTATTGCTGCCTAACATAGTGACTAAATGAATCTTCTCACATGGACTCTTAGAGATCATGGTGTTCATGGTGAATACAATGACTGTTTGCAAGAAATTATGCTTTCCCCTAAATGATTTTTAAAAAGTAAGATTATTTTAGACTAGTTAAAGTTAGTTCAACTGGACACAAAAATATTGAGATTTTTTTCCTCTTCGGAGAGTACCATTTTTTTGTGGTTGTAAGGGATGAAAGAGCCATGGGCACTGCCCTTTAAGAGCTTTCAATCTTGTCATAGAGAAAAACATGGCAAAAAAAAAAGGTCAGCCGCTAGACAGAATAAAGCATGTACTTTAAGGAGGTACAGATAAGTTAGGACAAAGTAAGGAGCAATTAAATCCAGAGGAAAAGAAGAGTGGGAAAGAAAACAGAATGTTGAACTAATGGGTTGCAATTTGTATCCAGAGCTTGAAAAAAATAAAATATAAGGAAATATATTTTCTTGCCCTGAGAGACCATTAAAAAAAATTGCATAAACAAGTGTGAGGTCTGAAGAAATATACATAGATTTTTCCTTCCTTCTTTTTATCCGCAAGCTCAAAGGAAGGTTGATTAAATAGAGTATTTGTAATTGATAATAGAAAACATTTTTTTTTAAGAGAAGAGAGGATTATAATCAGCAGTTTTTCTAAACGTCCTATATAACATCACGTAATTAAACAGTTTCTGTGGGAAAAAAATGGCATAGAATCACAATAAGCTTTTTAGTCAAGGCGGCTGCTCCCATGATTCTGTGTAAGGCTTACTGAGTTCACGCTACCCCCAGCGCTTTCTCAGGCACCACAGCGGTTGTTCCTCTTTTCTCACCCTGCAATGCTCAGTTGTCTGTATAAACCATGAAAGGTTTAGAACATCTAATAAATGGAGTTGATGAGATTTAAAGCTTTTGTTCTGGCCATTCTAGTGCTATATCACAAACTATGGAGAACCCGAGAACTTATTTTTTTTCCATTTAAAAATACATTTGGGGAATCTTTGCATCTACAATAGAAGCATGGGGAGGATGCATCGGGCAATTCTCATCGCTATTAGGGTTACGTCAACACCCAACACTTTAGAGAGCATTGCCCTTCACGCTTTTGCCCTGAGGACTGCACACCGCCTGGCTAAAATGGGAGAAGGGGCCTCTTCTGCCCCTCACCCAAATGCCAGTCTTCTTAGTGCAGTCTTCTTCCGCGGAGAAGCTGGGTCTCTCCCGGGGGGCCACCACTGCCCCGAGTTCCCTCTGCAGTTCCCTCTTCAGATCGGCTGGCAGCTAAGTGGAGTGGAGCGTGTATGCTGGCCCGTGTCTGTTTTTAACTTGCCCACGCATTCTTTGGGACTCTCTTCAGCTTTCCTGAACTTCAGTACAGTGCTGCGTGACATACAGAGCACATCCCCTTCCCCTAGCCATCTTCATAGCTCCATTCTCCTAGACAGTGAGGGGAGGATCAAGCTCATTATACGGATAGAGTCAATTGATTTCCATTCAGTGTGAGTCATGTTTGCTTTAATTGGTACAGAATCAATGTCCGTTCTACTAAGACAGTCAGTATGCTCTTTTGATGAATTGCTTTTAATTTTGCTCTGACAGTTTGTGGGTAGATTCTCAAAGGTGATATTACCTTGTTCATCTAAAACTGGAAATTCTACATCTGTAAGCCATATGGCAGGCAATGTTCTGACATTAAATCATACTGATTTGAAGAAGGATAATACTAACATTTTGAATTCTCCGTGCCAGCTTCTGTATTGCTCTAATCAAAGAAGGTAATGCATGAAAAGGTACTAATAAAACACACAGCCAGAGAACAGGATCATTCAATTGATAAGTGAATTTCTATCTAAAGTTGAATCATAGTGATTAGAACTGAATTACGAAGAGTAGATTTAAAAGTAGGGTTCAAGTCACCATTTATAGTTGAGACAAAATGTGTTCCACTTCAATTCTACTTAAAAATTAGATTTTCCATTCAGTAGCAAAAGCACAAGAAACAAAGCAATTTAGAAGGAGAGTGTGAAAGATATTTGGTCAAACCAGGATGGCTTATAAAGATAAATATTTTTTCCAATACTCCCATTTTACACAACTGAATAGAAGTAAATAAAGCATATTGTTAGTTAAGCAGTCTGGTAAGCATTTGTACTTAACATATATTCTACTTACATTTAATGTTATTATCTGAGTAAAGGATTTTAAGTTTGAAAGAAATGTATGTTAGAAATCATTTAACTGAACACTCTTACTTTACAAATGCAGAAAGAGTGGTTAAGTGATCTTAAATAACCTAGCCTAATAGTACAGCAAGTAAGAGAGACATAACTAATATCTGGTCTCTTGACTCTTACTAATGCCATTTCTATCATGTAATTTATAAAGCTATTTCTTATCTGTTTTAAATCACTGCTAGTATATTTTATTTGATATATTTATTTGAGCTTTTGTATTCCCTGAGAAACCTGGTATATTCCTTAAACCAGAAAACCAAATGATGTTATCCATTCATTCAACATGTATTTATCATATCCTTACAAGACCAAGCCCTCGCTTTATAGAACTTATGCACACTAGAGAACAAGATAAAAAAGGAGAAAGTGGGTAATTGCACGAGAGCATGATATGTGATACGAGTTTATCGTAGAGTGTTATGAGTACAGAATAGGAGCACAGATCAATCTTGGATAGAGGTGGGTATGTCTTATAATGAGGTTTATTTCAAGTTGAGTACTGAATGATCAGTAGTTGTTACCTTGACAGTGAAGAAGGGTGCAAGAAGTATGTTCCAGGATTGGGGAGCAGACTGTGGATCAGAGTGTGCAAAGACTTGGACATTTCTCCCCTTCCTCTTTGTCCAGGCAGCACCTACTCATACTTTAAGCTTCAACTCAAGTGTTACTTCCTCCAGGAAGCCTTCCCTGAGATCTTCCAGTCCAACTCTAAGCTGGTTTTTATCTACTCTATATCTTCAAGACCAACTGTATTATCACTGCCATATCATTGTCATCCTATAATATGATCACATTAAGATCCTCATGTTCTTAAAAAAAACTGAATGTGAATAATGTATATGTGGTATTATATGGAATAAGAATAATAAAGCTGACACTGATGGAAACAGAAGTTGTAACTACAAATTTACTTATTTTTCTCCCCACTGGCTATAAACTCAGCTCCATAAATGCTTGTTGAATAAATGAATTGGTATAAAGCTGGGGCAATGAAACCAATACAGGGTGGTTACAGATATGATGGAGGGCCTAAACAAGGTTGGAAGTGGATGAGCTCTAGAGCTGTGAAGTGGATAAAAGGGAAGATCAGACTAGACCAGAGATCAGTTGTGAAGGATGATGGAAGAATAATGGTTGATCTTCAGCTTTCTGGCTCGTGCAATGGCTTGATAGTCATACCAGTCCCTGAAGTAGGGGACCCAGAGGCAGAGTACTTATGGAAGATGAAGACTTCAGTTTTACGTATGTTGCATTTTTAGGCCTGAAGGATCTACATGCAGAAATATGCTCGAGACTCTGGTAAGGGAGTCTGGAGCTTCTTAGGGTAATTTGTCTAGAGAGGTGTGAGTTTTGGGCATGGAAGTGGCAGGGTATGTGCATGGAGTATGAGGAAGGAGCTGAAAATGCAATCTTAAACATAAACATTTTAGGATTGGAGGAAGAATAATGAAACTACTACAAAGGTGCAGTGAGGTAACAATAATAGTTTATGTTTGTTGTAGGCTTTCCATATACCACAGTGTCAAGTGCTATATCATTTAATCAATCTGACAATGATGTCTATTATATTCCTATTTGTCACTTTCCCTTCCATATTTTATAGCTATCGAAGTAATGTATGCTTTCACAAAATTCACAACGATATAAATACATAATTTGGAAGGTAACTCTATATCCTGTTCTATAAAAAAAATTTTGGTAAAGTTTAGCACATATCCCTCTAAATTTTCCTACACTCTGCATATTTATATTGCTATTGATCATTCTTTTAAAGAATTGTGTTACTTTTGTGCAACTTAATTTAACCAGATGATTGCAATTGATCTGATATATATTTTAAAATAGCTGCTTGGTATTCTATTGTATGAATACAATGAACAGTCCAAGTAATGCTACAGTGAGTAATCTTTACAGTGAAGAAAATTAGACTTAGAGGTAAAAATAGACTTAGGGTAAAACTGTCAAGGGAAAATGGCTAATAAATGGTGGAAACAGGACTCAAAAGAGAGAAACTAAATAAACATCAGATTTCAGAAGCCTAAAGAAGACTTGCTAATATGACAAGAAAGATGGGGGTATTAACAGTGCAAATGCTACAGAGATTAAGTGATATTTAGCAAGAATTTGTTAGTGACAACCACTAATTCCTGGTGAATACATTGTAATGAAGCAGGTCAGAGAGCATGGTCAAGGGCAGCTGGAAGATGACTAGGATGAGATGGACACTTAAGCAGCTTTTTCAAAACTTTTAAAGGAGAGGAGAGGAGAGGGAAAAGATAGGGTGGTAGTTGGAGGGGTTCATCAGGGTGAAGAACTCTATAAGTGAAACCATTTGTTAAAATCCAAGGCCATTTTGATAGCTCATCAAACTGTTTGATTTGTAAGTGGATGAATATGAAAACATCATAGAGGATGGGTGAAAAGACAAAAGACAAAATACTAAATAAAATACTAAATACAATGCAAAATACTAAATACTAAATAAATGTGCATCACATACCTTGACCTGTATATAAAGGTCACCAAAGTATGTGTATGATTAAAGCAACTCCGATGTCTTCTTCTTTCTTAAAAGCTTATTAATGAAACATTTAAGACATAGAAATAGAAAAAATATCATGAGGAAACCCTTACACCCACTAACATACTAAAAAATAAAATAGTGCCAAATTACTTAAAGCTCTATGATATCCCTCTTTGATCTTCTCTCTCTGCCTTCATCTAAACAGTTACCAGTATTAGCAATTTGGTGACTTCTCTGCAGAAGGTAAAATTTTTTTTATGTAAGAATACATTTTCATTTTGTCATTTTCATGGAAGTACGATGACAGCTGATAGGTATTAGCATAATATTGATCTATTATTTGACATTATAAGAAATGGTCCACTTTGAAAAAGTTTAAAATATATTTTTATATAAGTAGTAAAATGAACTTTAGAGGGTGATTTAAGCCACACCAGCTAAGTTAATTTTTATGTAAACCAGGCCGTCTGGGCATTATAATAAAAAGACAAAGCTTATGAGATAAGCTAAAGCTTTTGCTTTGACTGATGCTCCTAATTGCGTGCCATTTCCTTATTCTCATAGTGTCTAATGTAATATTTTATGCTCAAAATGATTTTGTTTCCAGGTCGAGCCTCTTAGGCGGAAGCACCAGTCTTCGTGTGCATTATGCTGTTCATTTAGTGGAAAGGATGTGCTGTTTATAAAAGTGGCCATCTTGCGGCAGTCAAGGCGCCCGGCTAGCGGTGCGACGTGAGGGGGGATAAGATGGGACATTATTCCAGAAGCACATCACCAGAAATTAATCCAGCTCATTTCTCCTCTACATGGTACTCCTCATCCATCCCATAATTTAAATCCTGGTCACATTACATCGAGTATTGCTAACTATTTCCTATAAAACAGGAGTGTTTTGTCTTGTTCAGAGACAGCTTCAATATGTTTTTAGTGTTCAAAATGAAATAGTTCAACTTTATGTTAATAAAGAGATGCAATTAATTTTACCAGATTACTTGTTTCCCCCTTTTAGAAGTCTCAATTACATTTTGATTTACTGATCATTTTTGAAACAAATATATAGTCTTTGATGCTCTGAAAGACCCATTTATTTTCTTTGGAGAAAAATGATTTTTAGTCTCATAATCACAAAACATCAAATCAGCGTAAACATCCAGAGCGGCTCCTTTGAGACTGCGTCAGGTGTTGGGAAGTCAATATCAGGAAGATTGTTTTTTTATTCCAAGAAGCCCAAGGATCTCCTTGAGCCTGCTGATTCCATGTCCTTTAAATCGTAGCACATTTCAAAGGCTGAGATCACGCTCAAAGACACATTTAACTCACTCACTGAGTTTCTCTGAACTTCAAACTCTCCAGGTCTCAGGTTCCTTTGCAGGAAATGGAGGCATGTTTTGGAGTCTGCCCTGCTTCTAAGAGTCAAGGCATTCATGTAAGTTAGACCAGACAAATCAAATAAGCAGCTTCCCAGACTGCGGACACCTTATTGACTTCCTATAGAAAATCCCTCTCGAATCCACTGCTCACACTTTCCATCACCCCCTTAGTCCTACAGGCATTTGCTTACCTGACCCCTGGGTGCAGGGCCATCTCCATGATCTTGCTCACCAGCTTCTTCCCCTATTTCTTCCCTGTTTCCATTTCCATTTCTTATATTGGTAAAATAGACCCCGTTTTTTACTCTTAGAGTTTCTTTCATCCCCTCTGTAGGCAACAGATTTTTCAATGAGGCCTGCCAAATAAAATGTAGGATATTCAGTTAGATTTGAATTTAATTTAAAAAAATTTGTATGTCTCAAGTATTTCATGGGACATATTTATGCTTAAAAAAGTTTTATTTGTTGTTTATCTGAAATTTAAACTTATCTGATCAGCCCTCCCAACCCCCAAAAAACAGGCAACCCTACTTTCAACTGGCCCTAGTTAGATAGCCCAGACCCCCAGGTGACCATTGTGCCTTTGGCCCCTAGATGTTAGTCAAGCTCTAGCAAGTTTGCAGCTCCCTCTGCTGGGAAGCCAGAACACATCTGGCTCGAGCTCCTCTCTGAAGCTTGGGAGCAAGGAGTAATGAATGGGTAGCCCCAGGAGGAAGTATGTAATGCTTATAGGGGGTAATGAATAAATCCATATGTATGAAGCAATGGGTATTTTGAAGAATTGAGCTGAAAGGGGTATTTCGAAGAGTTGAGCTGCTTGTTTCACCTCAGTTCTTTTATATTTTGAGAATTCTTATAGCCTTATAAATTTATTTATTCTTTGATTAATTTTGAAATCATGACATCAGTATTTTATTTCTTCTGCTCCATCACGGATATACATCAAACTCTTCTGATATTCCCTAGTAACTTGGATCCCAGAAAACTTGCAACTATCTTTGAAGTCCTGTTTTGTAGCTTCTAGAGGATTACAGGATCAGAAGATAAAAGTAGGACATTATTTTCAGTGGTTAGTGTTCTGGCAATATACAATTTGAAAACTAGTGGATAAAATGGCTATTAACAGTTTTTTTCTTATTATGATATTACTGTCTTATTATGTTTTGCCTCGTTGTGAAAATTGTTCAAATCTTTTTCCATAGTAACTTGATAGGCACATACTGCAACGTTGCTGAGGTTCGGGAAGCATTTATCATAAATACGTCTCTTAACCCTTGTAACCAAGTAGTGTGAAAACGAACAGCTAACAGTTTGAGCCAACTGCCACGTTAAGGCCTATTCTGGGCTACTCAAGGTATACTGCAATTTTGATAGATTCAGGAACAATGTTGGTTGAATAAAGGAAGGAAGATGGAGCCCAAAATTCTAGTCTTTGAGATGTTGCTGAGCCCCTGGTGCTTTTCTGGAGGGGGCTATATCTCTCCCACACAGTGTTGGAGGAGAAATGGGCTTTTGACTGATTCCAGAAGCGGTGGGTTCCGGGACCCGGCCTCACGTTCAGGTAGTCAAGGTGTAGCCTGCGATCCTTAGACTGGTCGGAGAAGATTCAACAGTCAGAGAGTTCATGGTCACCTTCTGGAGCAATGGCCTATTGATGACTGGTGCCTGGTATCAGATAAAAGGCAATATTCTAACCACGAGGAGAGCAACCAGAATAAGCAACCAGACAGCCAGTGAATACACAGGGATCTGGGACGTGCTTCATGGCTCATTCCTACGGACTGGGTCCACCTGTGGGTCTAATACAAGGCAGTTCTGAGGTCTGTGACCTGGAGAATATACGGATGCTGGCTAAGGCCAGCTTCTGGCACCACCTGACCTGAGGAGTTGAGTCACTAAAGCGATGGAGGTGGTGGGGTGAGGACAGCGAGGCAGCACAACTTGAGTATGCAGAAGACGCAGTGGTCCACAAAACCTCAGGTTGGAAGCACCATAGAGGAATAGCTTAGGCAGAAGATACTAGTTAATGTCAAGGGTTGCAAATGGGCAGCGCTGAAGATGTTTCGGTGGCCCGCACAGCGTGAAAAGAAATCGGTATGCTTTCAAGTCGGCCGGTTACCCACATGCTCCGTGGACTTACTCAGCCTGCTTCCCATTGTCAGGTACCCTGCTGCTGGGTCCCTCATGCCATTTGAATTTGAAACTTCTGATTGACACCTTACTTTTGTTTTGACTGATCTGGGAAGCTGAAAAGGGCCAGAATCTTCCGAAGCACCCTGTTGGGATTTGGCTGTGAGGAGCTGGGTCAACCAGAGGCAGAGATGCTAAGGTAGCAGCTGACACAGCTAAAAACTGTCATCAATAGTACTATTAGCAAACGAAGACATCTAACCATTCAGACACAAAAACTAAATAAATTTCTATTTGATGAGGCCAAGACCAGCAACTCTTAATTACAGAGAGCCAACAGACACATTTTGTAAAGACCAGGTGTGGGGTGTATCACATCACATGGTTACCACTAAGACTTAAAGTACTGACATTTGGAAATCATTTTTCTTCACACATATAAACTGAGAGGAGAATTCTGGGTTCGGTTTTTATAACTCCATCTTCCTTTTGGATATACTTTTTTTTTTTTTTTTGTTCTTTTGAGAGGAAGAATACTGGGTAAGGCAAACTTTCCAGGGATTGCACAAAACCTGAAGGCTTATCTTACCTATGAGTTCATGGGATGATGTCTAAAATTGGCCATGTGGAGTGGCTCAGAAGAATTGAACTGCTTTTAAAGGATGCTAGGGGCGCCTGGGTGGCTCAGTCGTTAAGCGTCTGCCTTC